CAAGTCAAAGGAAATACACGTAACTCACCTGTAAGGTACCTCACCTGGTCCATAGTCAACCCAAGTCAAAGGAAATACACGTCAGTCACCTGTAAAGGTGTCTCACCTGGTCCCCAGACCTGACAGCCTTGCAATTATTACTTGTATTTCCTGTATTAGCTGCCTTACCTAGTCCCAGAGCTAAAAAAGAGCCCAGATGTAAGAGCCACACAAATATAACGTTGATAACCAATTTACATGTAACGTTATATGGAGTGTTACCTGGTCCCCAGAGCTTAAATCCCCTCAAATATGATCTGAATTGTGCTTTTCCTTGTCCCCAGAGGTAAAAGCCACACAAATGCAGTGAATATAGACGTAAAAGTTGACGTTTTTGCACGTAAATGGAGGGAAAGACGCAGGAAGCCCTCCCCACACTACCGAAACTGAGGTATTGCTGCAGCATATGAGTAGCAGTCCAGCCCTACGCGTCACTTCCGGTGACCTCCAGTGACCTCCGCCTCGTTCTCGACCTCTACCCTTAGCCCAATGTGAAAACGTATCTCCCAGTTTGTCCTTCCTTCGTCTCGCGAGGTCAGAGGTGAACGACATCCGGGTCAAAGGTGAAATTGTCGGCCTGATTACCCGTGTAATGCATTCGACGTCGGGTGGCACGTTACGTTTTAGTTTCCTCACAATATAAACGTTTTACACTTAAATCAGACCATCAAAACGACATAACATGCGCCCGATTTTCTTGTCTAGTCTAATATTATGTGAAAGGAAGATAGAAAATCACAGTTAAGCCTGTTTGGTCTGAATCGTGATTTCTAAGTTTTGTGACTAATTGACAAACTCTATTCATGAAAAAAAGATCACTAGAAGAAATTGTATTAAATGTACTGAACTATTTAATTGTGTTAGTGGTAAATATATGTAGCTACATCTTCGATCAATGGAATTCTGCTCGTATACAACATAACGTCTATAGCTTTTCCCTAGTCTAAAATCACTTCCTAGAGTTGCTATGCTATCGGCTTTAAAGGTTTTACCGCAACCAAACGCTAGTTTACAGAGTTGATATTGGTCAAAAGCTATTTTTGTAGTAGATATGGGAACATACTGTCAGAGAAAACTATTAATAGAAACACGAAGATAGCACATTCATACAAACAACACTAATTTCTACCTTTGAAATTCTGTGTACGATCACTTGCCAATGTTAATTACTGACTATGCACATGTATAAGATCCAATCAATACCATCAATTTCACTGTTTTCCACAATTCATGATAGATACAAAAATGATTTATTTTGTGAAAAGAACTGAAAACAAAACAAATTACTTACATATAATAATCACTATTCTATGTATATCTGCATTGTACAATCAATACAAACAAATCAACTGTTGTTCCAGTACAATCCTAGATGGCTATAAAACGTTTTTTCTTGTTCAAAAAACTTTCGATACTAGAATATTTGTACATGGGCTACTACACAGTTTTTTTTACAAAAAAATATTCTTGTGACTAAACCATTGTTTTACAGTAATTAGAAATACAGCGCATCCTCTGGATAATTAAGCTTTGCCTGTTTGTAAATACAGTATATGTGTTATAATTTTTAAAAGAATATTTAGCCTAACCGTTTTCGAAATAGCAAGGAGGTTTGTATTTTAAACCTTAGTATAGAGAAACTGCAGTTAACACAGGATTGTGCAAACTAAATGTCACTACGAGATGGTCACAGTTGCAAATTTGATGTCTCCGTGTGTATTTTTATATGTTGAGTTAGGGCAGCCTTAGAGGCTGCAGAATAGCTACACTGGTCACACTTGTGGGGTTTTTCTCCTGTATGGCCTTTCATGTGATAGGCTAAGGACAACTGGTAAGTGGCCCTGTATCCACACTCCCACACATGTAGGGTTCTCACCCGTGTGTTTTGCTAGATGTTGGTCTAAATTGGATTTCTCTGCTGAGGAATATTCACACTGGTCACACTTGTAGGGTTTCTCACCGGTGTGTTTTGCTAGATGTCGGTCTAAATGAGACTTCCGTGCAGCAGAATAGTCACACTGGTCACACTTGTAGGGTTTTTCTCCTGTATGGGTTTTCATATGTCGGGATAAGTAAGACCTTACAGTTGCCCTGTACCCACACTCCCCACACATGTAGGGTTTCTCACCAGTATGTTTTGCTAGATGATTATCCAAATCAGATTTCTGTGCAGTAGAATAGTCACACTGGTCACACTTGTAGGGTTTTTCTCCTGTGTGGGTTCTCATATGTACGGAGAGGTGAGACTTTTTACCTGTCCTGTACCCACACTCCCCACACATGTAGGGTTTCTCACCAGTGTGTGTTGCTTTTTGATAATCTAAGCTGGATTTCCGTGCTGCAGAATAGTCACACTGGTCACACTTGTAGCGTTTTGTTCCTGTATGGGTTCTCATATGTTGAGATATTGTAGACCTCGCAGCTGTTCTGAACCCACACTCCCCAAACATGTAGGGGTTCTCACCAGCATGCATTTCTAGATGTTGATCCAAGGTAGGTTTCTGTGCTGCAGAATAGCTACACTGGTCACACTTGTAGGGTTTTTCTCCTGTATGGGTTCTCATGTGTCGCGAAAGTCATACTTTCTAGCTGTCCTGTACTCACAATCCTCACACATGTAGGGTTTCTCACCAGAGTGTTTTGATAGATGTAAGTTCGAAGCAGATTTCTGTGCTGCAGAATAGTCACACTGGTCACACTTGTAGGGTTTTTCTCCTGTATGGATTCTCATATGTTTAGATAAGTAAGACTGGTTAGCTGTTCTGTACCCACACTCCCCACACATGTAGGGTTTCTCACCGGTGTGCTTAGTGAGATGATAGTCTAAATGAGGTTTCTGTGCAGCAGAATAGTCACACTGGTCACACTTGTAGGGTTTTCCTCCTGTATGGATTCTCATATGCTTGGATAAGTTGGACCTGTCACCTGTCCTGTACCCACACTCCTCACACATGTAGGGTTTCTCACCAGTGTTATCGAAATTGACTTTGTTGTGCTGCTGCCTGATATTCAGCATTGCTTGTTTTGCTGTCACAGTCAACCTGAGAAACCGCGGTGGGAGACCCATCACAGGATTTCTGACCAACTCCGGTGGGAGACCCGTGTCCTGCCATTGCCATGTTCAGCCTAACGAAAAAAAGGAAGAATATAACCTGTCAATGATAAAATAGAATTTATAGAAAACAAGCTTCAAAGAATCCTAACTTCACCAAGCTTTACAATTTTAACGTAATGCATTACAACGTAACCCAACATAATTCTAACTTGTTGTCTTTCTCGCATTTGAATAAATTTGCTTCTATATTGTTCCAAAATCATAATTTGTGAGATCTTACAACTTGTGAGATCTGACAATTCGTGAGATCTTACAATCTCTTACTCACACCACCAATCACATATTATTCATTACTTAAATGACTACGAACAATGGGTAAAATGACTCCATTCGCTAGGCTGGAAAGAGAGTCGGCAGTATAGCCTAAGTTATAGGTTTGGTCACCAGGCTTCTCTATTTACTGTTTTGTACACAATACACACATGCGGTGAACTTCTGTTACCTGAGTATGCGGTGAACCTCTGATCTCGGAATGCCATAATGTTCAGCAAAAGATGAACGTGGGCATAACAAGGAAGAAGAAGAAGAAGAAGTTCTACGCGTTTCTAGATTTTGTAATGTACGCCTTGTGCGATTCTTTACAATACAATTAACATTTCTATATAATTTCACGTACTCTTAAAAGGCCACCTTGCCTGATGCAGCATGACGTACATGTAAGTGGCGAGGGTCGAACGTATGTTACTGGTTTCGCCCCCCTCCCTCTTTAATTCAACGATATTCACATCCCGAAAATGCCTACAAATTATCACCTACTGCGGTTCTTCTTCCACAGAAATGGTCTTAAACTATTCCCCTCAACATTAGAATACTGTTCTGTCCGTTTCTAAGTCTTACCTGCTTCCTATGATGGTTTTTCTCTTCGCGTAAACCGGAACTCGAGTAGCTTTGTCCTTCCTTCGTCTCGCGAGGTCAGAGTTGAATTCTACGTGGGTCAAAGGTGAAATTATAGACCTGATTACCCATGTAGTGCATTTGACATCAGGTGGCAAGTTACGTTTTAGTTTCCTCATAATATCAGCGTTTTACACATCAAACAGACCAGCTAAACACCAAAAGGGAGAAATTTGTAAAGAAATTAATGAAAAGCCAAACTGTTTGGCCTAAATCTCGATTTCTGTGTTTTATGATCAACTCACCACCTCTGACAATATTCCAAGGGAAGGAAGCAACACAGGAACAAGGAAACATTATGTTCAAGGTACATAACGATTTAATTATTTCAGTGGAAAATATCTGTAGACACATCTTCGGAAAAAAACTACAAAACAAACAAGAACTTTTACTCATAAAGTCTCGTATACAACATAATGTCTACGTTTTTACAATTGTAAAATTACTAATGTTGGAAACTGAAGCGAACCAAATGCTAGTTTACAGAGTTGATATTTTAGTCAAGATATCTGTTGAAATATAGGCACGCACTTTGTCAAAGTAACTAACAGGATATCGAAGCTCCATTCAAACTATTTCAACGACTCATTTCAACTATTGTCTACAATCACTTACCTATGTTAAGTACTGATTATATGTTTTTGTACATTATCCAATAAATACTTTCAACTTAAATGTTCTTCTACTTCAGTTCTAAATAACTAAAAATATGATTTCTGTTTTAAACAATTGATACCTACTATTAAAGAACAAAGTGTGCATTAGGCTTCTAAGAAATATTCTTGTACCTGAACCTTTGTTGGGTAATCAGAAAGCAGTGGATGCAGTTGAAAGTACATGACAATGACGTTTCATAGGGAGAAGGTTTTCCCATTTTGCTAAATTTTGTTAATTTTTACAAAATATTTCGCCTATTTCTTAAATAGAAGATAATGAGCACTATTGCAATATATACTTAATCATGATATGAATGGAGAGAAACTGTATATAGTTAAGTAAACATTGTGCACACAAAATGTCACTACGAGATGGTCACAGTTGTAGAGTTGGTGCCTCCGTGTGAATTCTTACATGTTGAGTTAGGGCAGACTTAGAGCCTGCAGAGAAGCTACAATGGTCACACTTGTAGGGTTTTTCTACCGTATGGGCTCTCATATGTCGGGATAAGGCAGACTTGTAAGCTACCCTGTACCCACACTCCCCACACATGTAGGGTTTCTCACCAGCATGCATTTCTAGATGTGAGTCCAAATGAACTTTCTGTGCCGCAGAATAGTCACACTGGTCACACTTGTAGGGCTTTTCTCCTGTATGGGTTCTCATACGTCGGGATAAGTGAGACTTTTTAGCCGCCCTGTACCCACACTCCCCACACATGTAGGGTTTCTCACCGGTGTGTTTTGCTACATGTTCCTCTAAGTGAGATTTCCGTGCTGCAGAATAGCCACACTGGTCACATTTGTAGGGTTTCTCACCTGTGTGTTTTGCTAGATGTTTATCCAAATCAGATTTCTGTGCAGCAGAATAGTCACACTGGTCAAACTTGTAGGGTTTTTCTCCCGTATGGGTTCTCATATGTCGGGATAAGTTAGACCTTATGGCTGTCCTGTACCCACACTCCCCACACATGTAGGGTTTTTCACCTGTGTGTTTTGCTTGATGAAGGTCCAAGAGGGATTTCCATGTTGAAGAATAGTCACACTGGTCGCATTTGAGGGTTTTTCTCCTGTATGGGGTTCTCATATGTTGCAATAAGGTAGACTTCAGAGTTGCCCTGTACCCACACTCCCCACACATGTAGGGTTTTTCACCAGTGTGTTTTGCTAGATGTTTATCCAAATCAGATTTCTGTGCAGCAGAATAGTCACACTGGTCACACTTGTAGGGTTTTTCTCCTGTATGTGTTCTCATATGTTGGGATAAGTGAGACTTCTGAGTTGCCCTGTACCCACACTCCCCACACATGTAGGGTTTCTCACCGGCGTGTTTAGCTAAATGTCGGTCTAAATTTGATTTATGTGCTGCAGAATAGTCACACTGGTCACACTTGTAGGGTTTTCTCCTGTATGAATTCTCATATGTTGGGATAATGTAGACTTGTAAGCCGCCCTGTACCCACACACCACACACATGTAGGGTTTCTCACCAGCATTATCCAAGTTGACTTGTGCTGCCGCCTGACTTTCAGCATTGCTAGTTTTGCGGTCACAGTCGACCTGGGAAACCCCGGTGGGAGACCCGTCACAGCAGTTCTGACCAACTCCGGTGGGAGACCCGTGCTCTGCCGTTGCCATGTTCAGCCTAATGAGAAAAATATACAGATTAAGCGTTAAAATTTAAAGCTGTCAATGATTAAATTGGATTTGTAGAAAACAAGGTTTAAAGAGACACAATTTTACCAAGCTTTAAAATGTCAACCTAATATATAATAACGTAATCCAACACATGATTCTACCCATTTCTAAATTCGTAATTTGCACCTTATGTGCTTCTTTTCAATTCAGTTAACATTTCTATATAGTTTCACGTACTCTAAAAAGGCCACTTTGCCTGATGCAAATGGACGTACATGTAAGTGGCGAGGGTCGAACGTATGTTAGGTTTCGCCCTCCTCCCCCTTCAATTCAACGATATTCACATCCCGAAAATGCCCACAAATTATCATCCTACTGCGGTTCTTCTTCCACAGAAATGGTATTAAACTAATCCCCTCAACATTAGAATACTTTTCTGCCCGTTTCTAAGCCTTACCTGCTTCCTATGACGGTTTTTCTCCTCACGTAAACCGGAACTCGGACAGCTCTGTCCTTCTGTCGTCTCGTGAGGTCAGAGGTGAACGCCAACTGGGTCAAAGGTGGAATTGTCGACCTGATTACCCAAGTAGTTACAGGTTCGCGATAGCGGAACCTGTTTTACTTTACCTCGATTTTATGGGCGCCGCCATTTTGTTTCCCGTCATGCAATGGGGCAGGCCAAAGTTGAGTGAAGTGCATTGTGGGACCTGTCACCGGGCCACAGTGTAAGGACGACGCCTAGCGGTATGTTTGGAAAGAGCAGTAACTGAAAGCCTACCTGGTTGTGTGTTCATTTTGGCAGGAGTGTATAGTGGCGATGGCTTTGGCGTAATATACGCTGATTGTGTTTAGCACTTGCAATTGAAGTTCAATGTAATTTTCTTAGCATGACGGGAAGGAAACATGGCGGACCTAAGGTTTTTTTTTGGATGATGAGATGATGAGGCTTTGGTATTAGTAGGGTGGTCTTGTGGATCTTGTCGGAGGCCGAAGCTAGGGACGACAGATTGTCCTCAAGTACAGGGTCAGTAGGTGGGATAAATGGCATGAACAGTTGGTATTAGTGGGGTGGTCTTGTGGATCTTGTCGGAGGCCGAAGCTAGGGACGACAGATTGTCCTCAAGTACAGGGTCAGTAGGTGGGATAAATGGCATGGAGATTTGGTATTAGTGG